GGGCAGGTGGTGACACAACCCCTCACTAGTCTGGATTGCACCCCAGAATGTGATAACAACTAAGGGGGGATATGATAGAGGTCTATAAAATCATGACAGGTATGGAGAAAGTGAATAGGGCAGTGTTATTTACTCCTTCTCATAGCACAAGGGCTGGGGGATCACCCAATGAAATTAATATGCAGCAGGTTTGAAACAAGCACGAGGAAGTACTTCTTCACGCAACACACAGTCAATCTGTGGACCTCGTTGCCAGGGGATGCTGCGACAGCCAAAAGTATAACTGGGCTCAAAAAAGAGTTACATAAGTTCATGCAGGATATTAGCCAAGATGGTCAGGGACACAACCCCATGCTCTGGGTGTCCCTATAACTCTGACTGCCAAAAGCTGGGACTGGACAACAGGGGATGGCTCGCTTGATAATTGCCCTGTCCTGTTCATTCCCTCTGAAGCACCTGGCCCTAGCCACTGTTGGAAGACAGAATATTGGGCTAGACAAACCATTGATTTGACCCATATGTTGACCCGTATGTTCGTATACACCTTCAGCTGGCCCTCTTCACAGGGGTGAATTTCACCTACAAACAGCCTCATCAAAGTCAATGAAGCTTCTCCCATGAGTAATAGTTTGCAGAATCAGGTCCTAATCGTGCATGTAATTGAACAAGTGTGCATTCCCCATAGTCCTGTTACTGCTCTGGGATCCTTTTTACATTCACTAAGCATAAATAAAGCTTCCATATCCATCCAACTCTAGCATTGGAGCTCTGTGCTGAAAAAAAAAAAAGCAAGTCATAATGTTCCTTTGAAAAATTAGTACTGGATCCACAGCAGTGGTTCTACACACTAAAAATATACTACAGTATTTTAAAGCAATGGTCTTACAGGAGTGTTATTGTAGTGCTATCAGACAACTACTGTAGAAGACATTATGTGGTTTAGATGGGTTAAACGGTAGCATTTTTAAGTACTGATAGAAAGTTATTGCTTATTTACGGTAAGGCATTGACAACAGGGAGGCTTTAGAGTCTCCTGTCTCCTACAATATTGTTGTTTTCTGCTTTGCTGCTTTATGAGTAAGAGTGTGAGAACATCAAACCACTAGGCAGGCAACTGACTTTTTCAAAGTCAAATTACAGGGCAAGGCATTTCAGAAAGGGCTAGGTTCTGAGATTTTCTCCCAGGCAAACTCCAGCTGAGCTTAATGCAAGAACTCAGATTTGGCTTATAATGCTGTCCACATCATGCCATGCAGCCAGTCAAGCTGCCTGAACTTTAGTTCTGCTACAGCCTGTCTGTTTCAAGACCTCTGATCACTGGCCTTTTAACCACTGGGTCGTCTGACTGCTTTGAGCGGGGTTAGATGACAGGGTGGTTAAAACACCAGTGACCAACTGGAGACCCCTCTATGCTAGCACCTCCCACCACTGCTACCACTAATGGAACTGCCTTGGTTATAGCGGTGATGGAAAGCATTAAGGGAAAAAGCCTACTTGTAGACACACAAGTTTTACCCTATGAACCAGGCAGCTGTGAACTTCAGAGTTCAGTGAACATTGGTGTTACTCAGAAGGAAAGTTCACACATTTAGGCTTTCCTTTTTAACCCTTCACAAGGGTTCTTGTCCTAGAGCTGACTGAGAAATGGAATTTCCCTCCCATGAGAACTTTTGATACTTCAATATTTCTTTTCATCCCAAATCAGTGTGAAAACTCGAAATACTAAAACTTTCCATGGAACTAAGAGTTCAGAAAAAAATTGATTTGGAAATACTGAAACACATTGTTTTGGGTTGACATTAATCTGCATCTACTTGAACTGCCATGGTGCCTCATGGGAGTTGTATTTCCAGATCTCTCAAGGCCCCATTCTCCCCTCTTTGACCCTCCCCTGCCAGACCACATCTCCCACAATACAACACAATCGTTTCTGTGTTGCAGCATGGGAGTCCCACTCTTCTTTCTTTCTTTCTTTCTTTCTTTCTTTCTTGCCCCCACTAGTTTCTACCATTTATTTCAGTCTTGTGCTGGCTTGTTCAGGCTACTGATTGTCATGTTGATGTATTTGGCTTCTTTTTCACATTTCAAAATCTGATTTTCATTACTGATCTGGCCTTGAGCAAGGGACTTTTTGACACGTGGGCTTCATTATGGGTTTGATCAATGCCCGTTATGTTCTTCACATGAAGCTGATCTCTTGTTTAAGCCTGCTGCACACCAAGATGGCTTCTGGTGTTCGTTTCTGTAGCAAGTCTGGTCTGACATGATGGGGTTACCAGCCCCATGCACAACTTTAGCTCCACAGCTACTTATTCATTATTTGGAGTTGTCCATATGTGGACACTCCCCTGTCTGGCACCTGGGGGATGCTGTTGGTAGCTTCAGATGCCCCAAGAGTCCCACTCTGCATTGCTTATATTGCTAATTGGGATCGGGGTCCCAACCAGAACCTAGTTAGAGGGTGGAGGGGTGGATCCTGGAGCGGTCCTGCTGTGGAAAATGTTAAGAACCACTGGCTTAGAACACTGTATAGTTTCCAAGTGATAGACACTTGGGAATCACATGTGGGGATCAGATGGTGAGGCTGGGACTTTGCGTTGATTGCATTAGGAAACCTACTGTTAGATTAGGAATGGGGTTGGATCACAGGTTTAGTCCAGGGAAAACATCTAATGAACACTCTGTGATGGCTTCCTGATTTGATAGTGTATTCATAGTAAGATTTATTCATAAAGCCCCACTCATAAATTCATTGAAAAAATTTAATTTTGAAAGTTAATTCCAACCCTCTAGAGATGTACTTTTTTTTGCTATTGTTCCTTGATGTTGTACTTCATGGGCCATATCCTCAAGTTGTGTAATTCCACGTTGCTCTGCTGAAATCAGTAGTGTTCCACTCATTTTCACCAGCTGAGGGTCGAGCTCCATATGTTGTATATGTGCAGTTTACTATGTACTTCTATAGATTATTTTCATAGCCTCTGTCAGGCAGACACAGAGTAGTGCACAATACTACAATATGTTGAACACATGTGTCTATGGGGTCAATCATATGCTATTGCATTGTGAGAAATAGTGTGAGATCACATAATTAAAGATGACTGTAATGCATATGTACATGGGGACACGTTGTTTTCTTTATCCCCAGGATGCTTCACGTCTCTTCCAAGACCCTGGCCATCCAGGTCCCCTACTGCTGCAGAAGGCCTAAGATCCAGAGGATGGAAGTTCCACTTTAAGATGGGTGCAGGAGGGGAGTTCTATTCCTGTGGAGCTTCTGAGAGCTGGGGCTAGAAGGTGAAGATGTAACCCACACAACTCCTGGGGTCCCATCTAGTGGCACCGAGACTACTAAGAGCATGCGTTAAATGAATCTGCTCTACAGCCTTAGCTAAGAGCCAATTGGCTTTTAGCTCATGTGGTAGAGGCTCATGCTTTAAGCTCCAGGGGCCCTAGGTTCAATCCTGCCCACCGATGACCTTGGTCTGTTGCGTTACAAAGGCATGTGCCCTGTGGAGCTTCTAAGTGTCATCAGAGCAGTCACCCTGGTGTAATGGAGCGTGACTCTCTACCAGGTAGTTGGCTTTTCCAGCAATTCCAGTCCACTCACCACAGCAGGTCTGCTTAATTGTGAATTCTGGGAATAGCAGCAGCTGGGGAGGGGGGCGCATGGATGTTTTAAGATCTGCATGATATGCAGTGAATGGGCAGGGAGGGACACGTGGGGATCTTTGTCATTTGGATCCTCTCACTTGGAGACTAAGGCGGCTCTGCAGGCAGTGATTCTGGAGCCAGTTCACTATAAAGTCAGCTTAGGCACCCATGCCCCCAGTGCATAATTCCTTAGTGCTCTAATTCAGGAAAGCCTTTAGGCATATGATTAACCTTAAACTCATGCTTAAGCCTCGTTGGCATCTATGAGACTTAAGCACATACTTAAAGTAAAACCGGTGCTTAAGTGGTTTCCTGAATGGGGATGGTTTCCCGAATCAGGGCCTAGGAGTACACTTAATGACCTTAGCAACAGTATCTGCTGAACGCATGGCATATGTCATTTTCAAATGCTCTTAATTCAGTCATAGCAAAATCACTTTCCTCTGGAAACAGCTTGAGCTCTGCTCCTCAATGAGGGCCATTCCCATGCTAGATCAGGACAATTAACCGTCAGTCATTTGGGCTCCAAAAAATCTAAAGGATATTTTTATAATGGGAAAAGTATATTTTCCCCACTCTCTTCTCACTCAAAAATAATAGAACCATTTTCAAGATGAAAAAGATGGACAAATACCAAGAATGGAAAATTGCAACCCAAAGATCAACATTTCACCAAGTTCTGCCCATATGTAATAGAGCTTGAATTTCAAATGAAACTGCTTTTTAACCTTAACTATTGCACAATGGGTTGCTGAAGCTTATGTATTATCCAGGTGTGATGTATATGTACAGCCTTTATAGATAGTAGTTTTACAGTAAGGGATTGGAGAAGGTTCACACATAGGAACCCCAGTTCCTATGCTCTTAAGCACTACTATTCTTGCAGAGTATCAGAGGGGTAGCCGTGTTAGTCTGAATCTGTAAAAAGCAACAGAGGGTCCTGTGGCACCTTTAAGACTAACAGAAGTATTGGGAGCATAAGCTTTCGTGGGTAAGAACCTCACTTCTTCAGATGCAAGTAATGGAAATCTCCAGAGGCAGGTATAAATCAGTAAGGAGATAACGAGGTCAGTTCAATCAGGGAGGGTGAGGTGCTCTGCTAGCAGTTGAGGTGTGAACACCAAGGGAAGAGAAACTGCTTCTGTAGTTGGATAGCCATTCACAGTCTTTGTTTAATCCTGATCTGATGGTGTCAAATTTGCAAATGAACTGGAGCTCAGCAGTTTCTCTTTGGAGTCTGGTCCTGAAGTTTTTTTGCTGTAAGATGGCTACCTTTACATCTGTTATTGTGTGGCCAGGGAGGTTGAAGTGTTCTCCTACAGGTTTTTGTATATTGCCATTCCTGATATCTGACTTGTGTCCATTTATCCTCTTGCAGAGTTCCACCTTAAAAGTAATTGAAAGTGTCTGTAGCCAATATTTTAGGTCAGAGAACTTTCGCTAAACAATGACACATTGCACTTGGATCTAGATATGAAACATCTGGAAGCCACATGTTAGAGGCAATATAAAAGGACCAGCACAACAAACCAGTGGGGCATTTCTAAGCCAGAAACATATTCAACATGGACCTTGTTCTTCTCTGTGTGTTCCTGCCACTGGTGACGGTGGCTTGGGGCCAGTATGGGGATTATAACTATCAACACTATGACTACGGGGGTAATGATGGGTGGGTCAATGTGTATCGTCAGGGCTTCAACTTCCAGTGCCCCCATGGCCAGGTGATAGTGGCAGTAAGGAGCACTTTCAGCAAGAAGGAAGGCTCTGACAGACTGTGGAACTATGCATGCATGCCTACGCCCCAGAGTCTTGGGGAACCAACAGAATGCTGGTGGGAAGAGATCAACAGAGCTGGAATGCAATGGTAGGATACTGTTAAACTATCTTTTGAAAGAGAAATTGCAATGCCCAAAGTTGGAGGGTGCATATTAACACAGTGGTGATAGTACAAGTGCACGTTAATTATTTGCTTAGCCATTATAAATGACTGTCTTAGTCATATTAGTAATGATGCATACTGATGTGATAATGATCCTACGTTACACTTCTATAGCACTTTCCCACTGGAGGAGTCCAATGCACCTCTGAGATAGCTCGGTATTGTTGCTGCTGATTTTACAGATGGGGAAACTGAGGCACAGATAGGGGATGTGACTTGCCCAGAGCTAAACAAGGAATCAGTGACCGAGCTGGGAACAGAACCCAAAATTCCTGACTACCAATCTCCAACCCTAATCATTAGAAAAAGCTCCTTCCCAGCGTAGCATTGTTTTTTCTCTATATCTTTCTGTTGCTGAAGACTTTGGCTTGTGCCCAGTATGGGACTGTTTACTATCACATCAGTATTACAGGGGCCCAAAATGCATGCTAATCTATTATGATGACAGTGAATATTAATTATATGGGAAAGCCTAATATGATCAGCTGTAGTTCATATTTAACATGCATATATGCTACTCTGCTTCTGAAAAGGACTCGACAGAAATGATCAGATTTTAGGCGGGGGGTTGCAAAGTTTCATGGGACGATCTATGGCATTTCATTCTGGGGCATTACATGTTCCGCAAATTTCATTTTCTCATGATGTTTTCATGAAATGGAAAACAGAGACATATTGAAAATGTTCATGTATTCAGTTCAAAAATTTCACACATTTTAGATTGGCTCAAAAAAAATTCAGGAAAGAACACAAACTTTTGCAGATTTTGCATGAAACAGGAAAATTTTCAAAAATTCAAAATGAAATGTGATAGCCTTGATTTTCAAGGGGTTTGAGTCGTGTTCTGAATGATTCATGCTCCTCGGTTCACCCTGTGATAAGTTCCTATGGCTGATGCAATTGCAAAGAAAAAAATTGACTCTTTATACTCACTTTGGAATAAGACTGAAAAGAAAAAGGGAGGGGTAGGAAGGAGATAGAGATGGAAAGATAAGCAAGAGATTGAGATAATTCTAGTAATGTATTACGCAGTCCTTTTCATACTTTGATGCAATTTGCATTTATTGCATAATAATTTTGAATGAGTTCTTTCTATTGTTTAAAAATAAAGAACTTTTTTTTCTTCTCAAACAATCCATGACAGTAATTGCTAAAGTCATTTCTCACAAACAGGATATTGTGTAATTCTATACAAAATGTTTTCTTATGCCACTGGAACCCTCTAGCAACATTCATCATCAGAACTATATGTACCTAGGAAGTCTATATCCTCTGCATGTCATCTATGCCTTATTTCTTTCTCATCTCTTAGATCTTTCTACTTTGTCTCTCACACTTTCTTTTCTCTCTCTCACTCTCCTCTCTTTTTTTCTATCAATTATCTATCTTAGATATTTCTCTCTCTCTTTTTCTGTGTTTACTTATCTTATCTCTCCAGCTTTTATTTATCTTGGATATTTTATTTAACTTCTTTTCTATCTGTCGGTCTTATTTATTTTATATGTTACTCTCTTAACTAACCTGTCCTGTCTAACTCTTTTATCTGTCTGTTCTGTTTATCTTATCATTATATTGAGCATTTTCTCTTTTCCTATATGGATCTATTTCAGGTGGGATTTTCAAAAGCACCTACGTGACCACTGAAAGTCCTTGAGGCTTTTGAAAATCCAATCCTTCTGTCTTCTCTTTATTTATCTATCTGCCTCTCTTTTCCAGCTCTCTACCAAGCTCATCACCATGGTATTTGCGTGCCTGACGCTATTCTGAAAATACTTCCATTCAGGAACTGGGTAGGAACACAAATATGAATAATAATCTATAGTTAATCTGTAGTATAGTGAATCTCTTTCTGGCCATCTCCGTGTCCCTTTTGGCCTCCTGATTCATCAGTTCTGCTTGTGAGGGACAAATTAGATTAACTTCAGTTGGCAACAATCTCTGCTGGATTATCTAATCCATTTCTCATTGTGGCGGGATGGATTTTATTATCCTTACATCATCCCTGACTGATGGGTGTCTGGCCTCACCTGGCATACCACCAACAACCGAGATTCCACCAGCCTCCATTTGGCAGCCTGCTCCATTCACAAACATAAAGCTGCAAAATTCTTCCTAATGTTTAATCTACATTTTCCCTGTTACGTCTTGTCCTGCCTTCACTGACTAATGAAAATAAATGCATTGTTGTCTGCATGATGTCCCTTTAGCATATTAGCAGGTGGTTGTTGTCACAGTTTCAGGGTAACTGTACATGTATTCCTCTCTGTGGTCCTTTGAGGCCACCACTTCAGGTTTCTGGCTCCCAGCCATCACCTCTCTTGGGCAGAGACCCAGGTCTCTTTCCCTTCGGAGCAGGGGTTTTAAGACTGCAGAGATCCCTGCCTTGTACTGAGATATCCCAAACAAGCCAGTCTGCCTAAAGGCCAGTATCTATGCACTGCTTTCTCTCCGAAGGCTATGAACAGTGTTTTTCAAACTGTTACCCGTTACCACACAGCTCTTTCTAAGCAAGCATATTTATTCTTAGGGTAAAAGCATGACATAGAAAACAGATCAAAACAGTAAAAGTTCCTATGCAAATGCTAAAAGCTTACCAGAGGTCACCCATCAGTCTTCCCAAAGTCTTTCCAATTCTTCTGCAAGGTTTGGGGCCCTTAGAGAGAAGGTCCTGACTGTTTGCTAGATGAGAAGGAAAGCCCGAGTCAGTTTAAATGCAGCCTTTTTATGCCAAAAGCCCTCTCTTTGTCTGTTGGTCTCTGGAAAACCCAGTTTGAACCAGTATATGCAGGCCTACCCATGGTGGAGGTGTTTACTATGTAATCACCCCTCACTGTTTTTGGTTCTGGAGGAGCGGTGATAACCCCCACACACACACACCTTGTCCCCAAGAGTGGCACACAATCCCTGCCTCACGGTGATACATAAACGTAATACAACACGGTCCCCACAGATATTAATGTGCAGTTGCAATATCTGTCACAGTTGCCATGCCCCCTCTCTGCCTCTTTGCTTTCAGCCTGAACATGTTCTCCATTTGCTTAACTTTTCCTTAGAGGTCTAATTTTCCCAGATCTTTAATCAACCTTTGATCAATTTTGCTGCTCTCCTTTGAATTCTCTCCAGTTGCTGGCTATCTTGTCTAAAACATGCATCAGAAACCCCATTCTGGTTGAAATACCAAAAAGAGACCTTTGACCAAGAACTTGGTACTGTCTAGTTGTGTTTTTTAACTAATTACCATCTCTGTATATTGTGCAGTTTTCAAAGCAGAAATAAACCCAAGAGACAGTCTTTTGAAAAAAACATGAGAGAAAATGGAGTGGGGATGTAAAGCTCAGAGAGGAAGAAATATTACGACTTTTCACCGTTATGACCCTGATTCAGCATGTGTTCACTTAAGTACAGGCTTAACTTTAAATGCTTTGCTGATTAGGGGATGAGCATAAGCATGTGCTTAAAGTTAGGTATATATTTATGTGCTCTACTGAATAGAGATGGGCTTAAACACATTGCTGAATGGGGCCAGACACAAGCATGGGGGGAAGGATAGCTCAGTGGTTTGAGCATTGGCCTGCTAAACCCAGGTTTGTGAGTTCAATCCTTGAGGGGGCCATTTAGGGATCAGGGGCAAAAAAAAAATAGCTGGGGATGGGTTCTGCTTTGAGCAGGGGGTTGGACTAGATGACTTCCTGAGATCCCTTCTAACCCTCATATTCTATGTGAGTAACTGGACAGAAATTCTGTGGCCTGTGATATATAAGAGGTCAGACTACATGATCTAATGGTTCTTTCTGATCTATGAATGCATTTAAAGTTAAGCACATGTTTAGGGACTTTGCTGAATGGGGGCCTATTTTTGAAGGGAGAGATTCTGACACCTTTAGTCATGCTGAGTAGAACCCTTACTTCACAAGTGTCTCCACTGGCTTCTCAGACACTGTATGGGGAACAAGATACTACTCAATGTTAGGGCAGCAGAATCTGGCCCTTAATGACTGGTGGGTAGGCAGTGGCGGGGGATTGGAGCAGCGAGAGGTCTGGGGGACAGTGTCAGTTTCTAATAATCTATAAGATAAACCCTGTTAATTATGGCTTTGTCATGGCAGCTACACAGTGACACGTTTTGAACAGGGATGTGTAATCCAAGGAAGGGTAATGTATGTCTATCCCATTACCTTTACAATGGAGGAGGCCCTGGGAGTTCAGTTTAAAACTTTTCCACCCGGATGAAGGAAGGGTTTGGGTGATTTCTCTGCCTCTGGTGAAGTTCATTTCTTCTGTGGCCGCTGCTCAATTATCTCTGTCAGAGATTATTTAAAAATATATATTTAGGAAGAACAACTGTGAATGGAATGAACCAAATGGCACCAAATGGCAGGGATTAAAATAACCAAACAAACAATTCTTGCCCAAGAAAGGATGTCCCTTTATGACAGGGGTGGCCAACCTGAGCCAGAGAAGGAGCCAGAATTTACCAATGTACATTGCCAAAGACAAGAGCCACAGTAATACGTCAGCAGCCCCCCATCAGCTCCCCCGCCCCTCGCGCCTCCCGCCCACTGGCTGCCACCGCTGATCAGCACCTCCTTCTCCCTCCCCGCACCTCCCGATCAGCTGTTTCCTGGTGTGCAGGAGGCTGAAGGGGAGAGGGCCGAGCGAGGGCATGGCAGGCTCAGGGGAGGGGGCGGGAAGGGGTGGAGTGGGGGCAGGGCCTGTGGCAGAGCCAGAGATTGAGCAGTGAGCACCCCCTGGCACATTGGAAAGTTGGCACCTGTAGCTCCAGCGCCAGAGTCGGTGCCTATACAAGAGCCGCATATTAACTTCTGAAGAGCTGCATGTGGCTCCAGAACCACAGGTTGGCCACCCTGCTTTATGAGGTCTTCATCCCCCAGCCCCTCTTCATATTACATAGACTAATGCTGTGCCCTACCCTCAACAACCTGTTTATTTTTCAGGCACAATGTATAAACTTTTCTAACAAAGTGCGGTTTAATGTAAGTTTGTTGCCTCTTTTCCTTGGTTAGGATTCTGAGAAAGTGTTTTGTTGGAAGTGGGGAAAACAGATTCTGCAGTCTCTGAATCATTCTCTCTCTCTCTCTCTCTCTCTCTCTCTCTCTCTCTCT